GACACTGATATCCATCTTGAGTCATGACTTCCAAGGTCTTCAGCCAGCAAGTATCCGCATCTCTCGGACCAAGGCCAACTGTTTCGTCAACATTTTCATTCGGCTTCTCCAAGTTGCAGGCTGTCCACCAGACCGCCTCTTCCAGCCCTGTCCAGCAACCGCAAACAACGCAGAACGCGGGTAACGCTGGACATGTATGCGCAATACCTGTCCCAGACACCGCAGTTGGTGCAGTGAGACGAGCTCCTCGAGAGAGTAGCTTTCTCGTCCCAAGACACGCTGTCTAAGTTCCACATTGCTTACGTGGTGCCGTCACCACACACGTTCAATGGATCGCAGACATCGACGCTCGCAGACGGATAGACTGCGCAAGTCACCTTTACGAATGGACCAGGTCTCGCATCCGCACACCAGCACAACAAGAATGGCTGCACAATAGACCCGCTTCTTGATGGAAAGACGAATGTCGTGGTGACGTCAAAAGTGCCTCAGCCTAACAAAAGCAAGGCGTGCTCTTGAGATGCGCCTCGAAATCTCGTCTCCAACAGCCCTGCCAGTAGTGCTGCAACTTCCCAAGTAGACAAAACTCTTCACAACCTCCAGTGTCTCACCACCAAGAGTGAGTGCAGGCACAGGCACCTGCCAGTCTTGAAAGAGAGCCTTGCATTTGGATCGCGAAAAGTACATACCATACTTTAATGCTTCAATCGCCAAGTGGTTTAATGCAAGTTGGACGGCGTGTGGGTCGTCACTCTGCAAGCCGATATCATCAGCATAATCCAAATCAACAAGTCGAATACCTGGGTGGAGCTCAACGCCAGCATTCAACGACTCGCCCAAATCCTTCTTTAGGACATCCTCAATGGCAAAGTTGAATGGAAACGGACAGAGGGGATCCTTGTTGAACTCCACTGGAGAAAACAAAGGAAGCCGACAACTTTCCATAAGCCCTAACCAGGCCCGAGGTCAGACCATGAAGAGGGTGCAGTATGGAGTCGAACTTCTCGGGGACGCTATTCCGCAGTAGGTAGTGCCACAGTACCGTCCGATAGACAGAATCGAAGGCTGCACGCAGATACAAGAACATAGCAATCGTTGGCCTCTATTACACATGGTGGAACTCGGGGATCTGGCGGAGTGTGAAGATTTGACCGATGCAGCCGCGACCAGGGCGAAACCCAGCTTGTTCTTCTCGCTGCAATGATTCGCGTGTTGGGGATAGTCTGCGAAGTATGATGGACACCAGCAGTTTGAAAATGACGAGTATTAAGCTTATGCCTAGCTAGTTGGAGCAGATTGTGCGTAGGCACTTTTTGAAGATGAGAATGAGTAGCGATTCACCCCTAGATGATGGAGCCTTCTGTTCCGACCAAACTTTTGAGAATAAAGCAGTGTGTACTCGAACCAACGAAGCGCCACCATTTTTAAATAGAGCTGGAAGAAGACCATCAGGGCCGGGGGCTTTATAACGCTTAATGTGGCGGAAGACCTGCTCAATTTCTTGGTGAGAGGGAGGCGTGATGGGAGTAGAACACTCGGCACCAGTGCGAGCGCCAGTGGTAGCAGATGGAGCTGGGGGCCAACAAAACTGCGAGCCAAACTGCCTTGCCCATCGCTCCAACCGTCGTTGAAGATTGGTGATTAAGGTGTCATCCTCTATGCATATTGTTTCACTTATACCAGATCGAACACTTTCGGTGCCTCGAATGAGATGGAAAAGTTTTCTGGTATTACCAAAAAGATTATCAAACTCCATCTCTCTAGCAGGTTCACATCACCAAGCTTCGCGGTCCATTTACAGACTCCTGCGCAACTCTCGACCCTGGGATTGGCGTTCTTCACTGTGTTTGGAAGCCGACGGCATCAAGCGGCGTTTGTCAATCAACGACAAGGAGACGGCGTAACTCCAATGCTTCGGTGGGTGACGGTCAACTCCACAAGTGTCGATACTGGCGGAAACTAAGGCAACTTTGAGCTGCGCCCACTGCGAATCGAGGTCACCGTCAATAGTTGAGCCAAGCAATGCTGACAGTGAAGCTTGGTACCTGGTTAAAATCGCAGGATTTTGTAGCTTTGCGAAGTTTGGTCGGTAGTGAGCGCGCTTGGGTGATCCTCCAAAACGCATGCAAAGCTTAGCATGAACCAACGCGTGATCGGAGTCTAGATAAGTTGACCAGTACGATCGACAGACCGTTACGCTTCCGTGCCATCTTTAGCTGCTTGCTACGTGGTCAAGCTGGGAGCACATTTGCGTTTGTGAGGGCAGGCGCCAGGTAGCAGTGCGTCGCCTCGCGTGCCGAAAACTAGTGCTAGAAAAGATCATCGGTGATCAGAGCAAAGAGCAAGCAGTCTGTCTCCACTGTCTGATCGACTGCTACCGACGCCAAAACTACCCTTAAGATGGTTCTCCGGCAAGAATGACTAGATCCATCCTTTTGGAGGAACCTAGAAGTACATGTAGCTGATGGTAAAAGCTATCCTTGACTTCATCCAGCCTGCAGTCTGTAGGGGAGTAAATGGAGACGACAAACAATTCACGCTTAACGTCGCGACGCCTGCTTACATTACATGAACCTCTTAGTCTGACTGCGATCCAGTCAAGCAGAGCTGATTTAGCCCTGGCACTCAGTGCAACTCCAACACCAGCCTGGCCAAAGGCGGCAGCTTCTGGGTCTCCGGAATTTGCAAGTAGTATTTGGCGTCAGGGTTGACCGGAGAGGTCATTCTGATATCTGCGCTAGAGTCTTGTAATCTGGTCTCTGAAAGGCAACGGATGTTTACCGATAGCGTTGCAAGAGTACGGGCCAGACATTCTTATCATCTGATCGGCATCAAAGTTCGAACATTAAACGCTGCGAAGATGAATGGAAAACCAGGTCGAAGAAGAGCTGGAGCTTCGGTGGAATGAGAAACCGATGCGATCGAAGGAAATTGAAAACCGGGAGTTTGGCTGTTACTTCCATCAGTTGCGAGAAGTGCGTCGTTTGTTACGCGGACCGAAGAAAACAGAAGACTACATATAGTTGAAGGACGGGAGGTGGGACGACCTGTGAAGCGAGGTTGAGAAGTTGAGTTAGCAAAGGTGCTGGGCATAACAAGGGCAGTAGTAAGCAGTATGGCCCATGATTCGTCAGTGGGCGTGACACTACCCGGTTGCCCAGGACGAAGTAGAGGGTTATATTAGGGGCCCTACCTAGAGCCTTTGATCAAAGATCTAACCTACAAGGAAGCAGGGTGATGTGAGGGCGTCGCAACCCGTTAGGAGCCGGAGACCAAGTAGATAGTTCATGCGCCTTTCGGTCCGTGAAGGACCAGGGATCCAACCACCCTTGAAGTATAATGCCTGTCAGGAACGGGCAAGGGGCAGTGACTTTATTTAGTGACAACTCACATCCGCCACGTCGCCGTTTTATTAAACAGACCTTTGTGGCTTTTTATAGGGAGAACGCTTGGCAGGCGAAAATCCACCACGTCCTGGAACACTGCCGCCGAACCATTTGCTGGAACGGGAAAGACCCGAACTACCCAGCTGGCACCCCGAGGAGGTCGTTCGGCAAGCCACCCGTTCGTTGAGGTTACTGCTAAAGGCACAAATAACATCCATATACACAACACGTCCTTTGAGATATGATAGCGATGGAGTAATAAATTTCTGCCAGACTTCTGGGGCACTACGGAGGCCCATTGGTAGCAGTTTGCATTGATACAAACGGTCTTACGTGAGGAAGGCAATCAAATGTCGGCAATCTGGAGTCAGTGGCATGTGATAGTATGCACTGCGAATATCCAGCTTTGAGAAAAGTTGCGCGTTTGAAAGCCTAACCATCAACACATCGGGAGAAGGCAGAGGGAATTCATCCATAATTATATGTCGATTAAGCGCTCGAAGTTCGGTGCATACACGAATAGAGCCATCTTTCTTTTGAACGGCAACTAGTGGATGAACCCATTCAGAACACTGTATGGGTTCTACCAAGCCATAGTTTTCAAAGCTTGCGACAAAGCCTCTCGACGTGGTCAGAGGTATAGGCCTAGGTTGTGAAATGCTGAGCGGTTTGTAATCCTCGCTTAACCGAACGCGGTGCATTGCTTTTGGTACTCTATCAATATCCGGAAGAAAGAGATTTAGGTAACTGGACCGTAACAAATGAAAGTTGACCCTGTCAATAGTCATCCGGCTGACGCATGGTGATGCGTTCAATAAGATCATGGCGTTACTTCCCAATAGAGGCTTACTATCAGTATTAGCAACGTAAACTTCAACTATACGCTTCTTGCTGTTTATAAAAATCATTGAAAGCGAAACAAAACCGAGTATGTGAACATCACCATTTGAGAAGCTGCTGAAAGTAAGCGCAAGGATGTAGTTAGCTGAGCAAAATGCTGTTTGTAAAAACAATATGGCGCAACTGTGATTGGTGACGCGGAATCTAGTTCTATGTATATAGACAATTGTCTATAGACAATTGGTTTTGTTTCTAACTTCAAATAAACACGATGAATATCTGGAAAAGACAGTTTGGGTTCTTGAGTTGGAGACGAAAGTGGATGTTCGCATTCATTAACAACATATATAGATTGTTCAGTGGTGACCGGAGAACCTCTGGAGTCATTCGTGGAGTCAACTAAAGAAATGACGCCGGAACGACAAACCCGAGCTAAATGGCCGATATTACCGCAATTCCGCAAATTGCACTCTTCGCAGGACGACTTATCATTTGCACGTTGTTCAGCATTTCCACAAAGGTAACACTTATTGCTAACTGAAGATCATGTCAGAGAGCATGTAGAATCCAAACGTTCAATTTCAATATCTCCGGTGTTGGAGAAATTTGTATTTTGTTCCGTGACTGCGACCTTCGCGCGAGCCACGTCACAGGCCCTGTCCCATGTGAGCTTTTCTGCGTTCTCCAGTAAGAGACTCTCTCTGATCCGATAAACCACGAGGCCAGAAATCAATTGTTTTATTAGCTTAGTTTCTTCCTCTTTTTTCTTAGGAGTACTATCGTAGTCCCACTTTTGAACCGAACAAACTCGGGGGAAATGAATGCATCCCCTGATGCACCAGATGCTTGTTTCAGCTGCGCAAAATTGTACCGGGAAGTGTGTTCACTCGAACACCTCAATGTTTATCGAGGGCCAGTAAGATCTCTGTCAAGGTGGGTTTCTCCCGCAGGTTTAGAGCATCAAATATACGTCGACCCTCTGAGCCGAGATTCAAACGCAAAAGCTTTAAAGTGTCCTCCGTTTTCAGCGTCACGGATGGATTGAGAACTGGTAGCACAGAAATACAGTCTGAAAAACCTCTTTTCCAGTCTTCCCAGCATTCTGCATTTGGGGTAACCGCAGAGCCAGTCCAGCACGGTGAAGGTGCAGTAGCATGCAAAGACATCGGTAACACGCGACGCCAATTTGTTTTATCCCGAAAAAGCAGCAGACCAGAGCAGCACCGGAACGTATGTATGGAAAAACTGTGTGTACATACGCGCGTTACAATTAAATCGATAGGCGTTCGAATTGCAATCAATCAAATGCAAGAGCACATGACTGGGCCAACGAGTGATAAATAGACTTGTGAGTAGGATAAGCGAATCGAGAGTAAAAGCAAAGTATTTGAATACGACCAACTGGTTACTAAATTACTTCACTATTTCTGTACTTCGATGATTGTAGTATGATATTTATCGCCATATATTTTTCTATTTAATTATTTTCCCCTCCCCGTGTTGTGTGTCTTAGATCTGAATATTCACCCTACATGTGGGCCTAAAGCCAATGCTTGACTTGACTTGATTGAGTTGTCTCAATTCGCGCCCAAAAGAAGCAATCTTGTTAAAGAATGCGGATGAATCGAACCGGAGTGTTCATCATCTGACTACATAACTCTCGGAACAACTACAATCCTTTCTGAACAACCCCACACTTAGTCCAACTCCCGTGCCCTGTCGCTGAATGCTTTAGAATGCAAGGATGTTCCTTTCACACTCTCTATGGGCGGTCCTTCCCAACAAATAATCATGAATTGCCCATAACGCCACAAGACAGCGAAATACCTCGGAGCGAAATTCAGCAATGAACACATGTGGTCATTTCGCGCGAATGAATTATTCACCAAAATAAAAGGTTATCACTCTCTTGTCTTAGGTCTTCCTCCGTATCTAGTTGTCTGTTTCTACTGTTTGTCACTGCGTGTGCTTTATCCCATTGGAATTGCTGCCTCCTCTTGAGCTTCCCTGGTCTATCGTGCCAGAACTTCAGAGTAACTGTTAGGTCATCAAATCATGTAGCTCGATGTAATAGCATTCCAAGACCAGAGCTTGTTAGCAGCACTGTGTATAATCACATTAGTACCTGCAAAAAATGTTGCGTCCAAGGTACTCAGAGCATTGTCTGGAAATATATCAGCTTTCTGGACCAGAGAGGTGTACATACCCCTATGTCCGCACACGGGCTCATGGTACGTGAGTTATCCTTTCTTGGTCACGCTATCTACTGGAGCAAAAGTCGTTCAATCAGAAACCGAGAGGTAAATTGTTTCAGCGATAGATTTGTCGGTTTTTCAGAAGTAAATTTTTGCACCTACCAGCTTGAACTTTTGTTACTAGTTATCCTTCTCTACCCACTATGAATGCATAAAACGTATTCTTGACTTGTTACACTAGGGGAAACTTGAGCCAGGTTAGCCAACATGACTTGTTAGGCGCATACTTCTCCATACTTAGTAATGAACACTTCCGTGTTCAATGCATTTAGAAGTTGTGCGCATGCTTTAGCATATATGTGACACTGCCGTCGTCCTATTTAGATTGTTACTCTGTAGGAGCATGTTACCATTACTCACCAATGGATGGCTAGCCGAACAACCTTCACATGAGGCCGGCTGGGTGGTCAGGGTTGATCCTGTTCCAACGAATGGTTCGGCGGCATTGTTCCAGGACGTGGTGGAATTTCGACTGGCAACCGTCCCCTCCTCATAAAAAGACACAAATGTCTGTTTAACAACACTGTGACGTGGCGGATATGACTCACCACTAAATAAAGTCACTGTCGTCAGCCCTTCCGGAGGATCTCACCCAATTCAAGAAAGCCATCCAGTTCGAAAATATTATTCGATCCGTTTCTATGTTGGTGAATCCACCGAACACAATTACAAATTCAGCACAACAGTAACAAATTCACTCAATTGGATTACTAACCCATGCGCGTACATTAAACACAACTCCAGTGTGTACTTGTTACACTGGTAACACGTGACAATTGCTGAGTATACGCTCTGTATTACTATGATCATGCCTTTTTAGGCGTGTCACGCACTGTCGAGAATAACACTACTTAGTTATTTATTTATTAAGTATGTAACATCTTCCGCACCAGATGTACGTCTAAGTCTCTTTTGTGACTCACCACACGTTCGATAAGCTGGTAGCTTGACTCAATACGTCTACTTGACTTGACGCTTAACTATAGAGGTGGCCGATGACCTGACCTGTTCGTTCACACTTCGGAGCATGAAATCGGTTGGTTTTGAGCATGACTCAGTTCAACTTTGCTCACCCACTTTCGGTTGTCCCGGTTGGCACACGACTGCATGGGATTGTTTGTGTCTATTGGGGACGTGTCAACTGAGGACAGTATGTCTTAAGACTCAGTCTACGGGTAATATCAGCTACTCCACGCCAGCTATGTGCCTCGGCGTAGCCCCGCAGATCATATCGAAACTCAAGCCACGAAACTATTCCTTATGCGAGGTACACGATCGGTAGGCATAAGTGCTTAAACGATACCGCACACTCAGAACAGCACTGAATCGAGTCAGGATATCCAGATGGTGGCACTTCAGAAATATGACTACCATTAAGTCCAAGGTCACGTCCACCGAGTTCATACTGTTAGTTTTGTTCACTTTACAACCTACATAGGTTTCCAGAGATGGACCCCACGTATGTCAGTTCATCTCGGTAGAAAGTGTGAACAGTTTGCCTATAGTGACGTCGCATCCTTCATCCACAGTTTAGACCTCCAAGTAAAGGGGGAATATAAATGTGTAACTAACTCTTCAGCAAGTAAGCTATCCAACAGAACTAATCGAACGGGGAGGGGGAAGATTAATAGCAAACTTGCAGAACTCGATCACTATCATGTGTGTAGTTAGTCTCTATCCCCAACCTCGCAAAATCGGGACAAATATGTTGCCTTCTGCCAAGAACCGTTGATTTCAAGCACACAAACAACTACTGGTTGATTACCTTTGACAGTATACACTGGTAAGTCGGTCACTGCGCTGGCATTAAGTTGCAGCTTGTATTAGTGTACGTGCGCACTTCTGGGGGCGCACCCGTCTACCCACGTTGTTCGGTTACCCAGGAGATGTACAAGGTGGGGCATGTTTACTATTGCAAGTGAATCATCAGAACTGGGGAGATTAGCCGATACGAGATCTGAAGGAGACGTTAGTGTCGGCCCAGTTTGGTTACCGATTCATAGTGCACTGCGTTAGCTGCAACCCCATACGGCATAGGCGTTAACAGCCGGTGGGTTTGTCGATGCATGAATGAGATTGACGGCAAGTCACTCACTCTTCACTTTGGTGTGTAATCTGGGTTACTAACCATTCCGGTGCCCGTAAGCAAACAAACGGAGACAGCAGCTGTCTCCCTAAGCAGAATGTATTAAGAAGTCACAAACAGTGTCCGAAACACAACGCGGTTGCTGTAAAGCCCAGTAAAACGCACTTATTATTGCCTTGTTCAGTAAGACGAACGGTGTATCACTGTTTCACTTATGGTCGAGTGAATTCCTGACCGAGTTGTCGGTATACCTCCTGTTCGCACACGCACAAGCTGGCAATGCCTTCAAAAGCTGACAAACGATCGAAAGTGCAGATACAGTCGGAACCCGGAGCTGTCCTGAGAAAAAGACTGATGGTGGAACTACACCAGACAGTTGTGCCACATCCAAACATGATAATACATATAGACGTGACGAACCCGGTGACAACTACCGACCAGTGCAACTTGTATCTGGCTCTTACTGGTCGATGTAAATAAAGACATTTTTCTCGGCACCACGAAGCACAGCCCAATGAAGCTATTCCGGTCGTTGTGTATATGTTTTCTTCAAAACTGTTGGTGCACACAGGTTGTTCTTCAATAGTGAGAAAGTTCGATTGCATTTGATCCCAGACATCAGCCAGGGATTTCTTTCAAATGTGCACCGAGCGTTTAAAATAATGTTATCGAAACATTGGGAAACATTGCGGCCCAGAAAGCCGTGAAGGAAAATAAAGCAAGATATATGAGTAGGTTGCATAGCAACAAGTACACAATGAACTACACAGAACTGCGAGAACTTGATAATAGCAACGATTGGTACAATGAAACAAGGGTTTATTACAGGTAAACTAGCCATAACTCAACAGGTCCCGTTGTGATGGGAGTGTCAAAGCAGAGTGAAAGGATGGACCAACCGAACTAGCCAGATGGCCAATGGAAGATGGGCGTAACGCAATCGGTTAGTGGACACGGATTGGTCGATATGCGTATGAGTTGCTCACCGTTTGTTTAACCGAGTCAAAAGAGAAACGTCATCGGCTCATAAGGGTCGTTAGTTATGGCCGTGAATGTGCAACTTATATGGAGGACAGAAGAGGAGTTTGGCTTGCCAAGCATGCTGTAATATTCGCCTAGTTTAGTTTGCTGAATAAATGCTTGTCCTTGAAGGACCGAATTTTGCAACACCACAGATTGGTCAGGGAAAGAAGGGTATAAGCAGAGTGCACATGCAAACAGTAGTCTACTGGAAGCGAGACAGATAAAATGAGATAGGGCCGAGCAAACCGTGCAACAAGTTATTACAGTTAATGCTTCAAGCAAAGTCCAATCAGGTAGTTCACCCGCCTTCACCGAGTTAAGTGTAGTGGCTAGAATTATAATTCCAAACAAGCTAATTGCCGTGATCATGTGTTCAGAGCGTACATCGTACTCTAATGTAGAGGAAGCTTTAGTGTACTTTTCCGCAGGCTGACCAGCAAAAAGTATTACGGAAACTAATTTTTACAGCTATGCCGAAAGCCTTGTCAGTGACTAGTTGGTGCAATGTAGTATATTAATCACGAGTGTGTGGAACAGCAATAAATATAACTCAAAACACTAAAGATACGCCAACAGAGCTTGGAAATTGGCTTTTTCACTTAAATGGGCCAAAAGAATGATCAACCGAAGGTTTGATATGGCCTAAATTGAACTTTTGCATCAGTTTTTCCGCTAGCGAATGATACAGTTATGTGAAGCTGATATGAATTATTGAGGGACAATATGATCTGATGTTGTATTTAGAGAGCATGAGTGTCCAGCCTACCAAGTCAGATCAATATGGGCTTTATGTAACCGAGTGGGCGCATTCCCAGCCTTCTACGATAGCTACTGCGAGTGGAATAAAATAGCACCGAAAATGTGCCAGTGATTCTACTCGTCAATAGCAAGTGTACCAACAGGCAAACTGAAGTGACGTTAAGAGGGAAGGGGTAGCTACTTAGGTTTGGCAGTCTAACT